TTTTTATTTGAAGAAACGTATGTTTCGTTATATATATATATATATATATATATATATATACATATATATATATATATACATATATATATATATATATATACATCTAGATATACATATATATATACATATATGCATCTATATATAAATATATAAATATATATATATAATTATATATTTATATATATTTGTCTGTTTGCTGCTCAGGTACGACCGGCAGCGCGCAGTGGTGGAGAATATAAATTTGCCTCCGTCTTTGTTTTCGCGGTTTGATTTAATTTATTTGCTGCTGGACACAGCGTCACCTCAAGCAGACAAAGCGCTAGCCTTAAGGCTGTGCAAGGCATTCGCAGGAGACCTTAATGCTGTATGCTGCTGCTGCTGCTGCTGCTGCTGCTGTTTGTTGTTATTGTTATTGTTGTTGTTGTTTTTTGCTGGCTGTTCCTGCTGTTGCTGCAGCAGCTTCTGCTTCCCCCTGCTGCTGTTTCTGCTGCTGCTGCTGCTTCGACGACGTGCATGTACTGCTGCTGCTGCTGCTGCTGCTGCTGCATGGGTTACTGCTGCAGGAAGACCCTAGCAACAGCCCCCCTCTGAATAAGAGTCTGCTTGCTTCTTACTTAGCTTTCTGTCGCTATCGCTGCCAACCAACTTTGTCTCTTGAAGCAAAGGAGGCCCTCAAAGCGGAGTACCTGCGTATGAGAAGAAGAGACGTCACTAGCAAGTAAGCAGCAGCAGCAGCAGCAGCAGCAGCAGCAGCAGCTGAAGCAGTAGTAGCAGCAATAGCGGAAAGAAGGGAGGATGTAGGTGCAGCAGCAGCAGAAGCTGCAGCAGAAGAACTAGCAGCAGCAACAGCAGTTGACGCAGCAGCCGCAGCATTTTATCAGCAGCAAATGCAAGACTAGCTGCAACAGCTGCGGCAGCAGCAGCAGCAGCAGGAACGGCGCATGCATGCGTCTTTCTGTATTAATGTTGAGGTGTCTCTGCAGACATCCTTCTGCTTCTATTCGCCAGCTGGAGTCGCTGCTGCGGCTTGCTGAAGCTGTAGCAAAGCTCCGGCTGTCTCCTCAGGTCTCAGCAGCAGATGCAGCAGAAGCTGTGCGACTCGTTCATGTGGCCACCTTCCAGTCCCTTGTTGACCCCTTCTCAGGTCTGCTGCTGCTGCTGCTGCTGTTGCTGCTGCTGCTGCTGCTGCTGCTTTGGTGCTGCTGCTGCTTTGCTTCTGTTGCTGCTGGTGTTTTTGGTGCTGCTGCTGTTCGTGTTTGCTGTTGCTGCTGCGTCAGATCTTGTTGCTGCATCTGCTGCTGTTGTTGCTGCTTTTGGTGCTGGCGGTGCTGCGGCTGCGGTTATCTCGAAGTGTGCTGCTGCTGCTGCTTCTCGTTTCGGGTCCTTGGAGGGATTTTTGCTGCTGCTGCTGCTGCTTTTATTGCTGCTGCTGCTGCTGCTGCTGCTGCTGCAGGTCGTATTGACTTCGATCAGATTCATGTGGTAGTAGCAGCAATAGCGGAAAGAAGGGAGGATGTAGGTGCAGCAGCAGCAGAAGCTGCAGCAGAAGAACTAGCAGCAGCAACAGCAGTTGACGCAGCAGCCGCAGCATTTTATCAGCAGCAAATGCAAGACTAGCTGCAACAGCTGCGGCAGCAGCAGCAGCAGCAGGAACGGCGCATGCATGCGTCTTTCTGTATTAATGTTGAGGTGTCTCTGCAGACATCCTTCTGCTTCTATTCGCCAGCTGGAGTCGCTGCTGCGGCTTGCTGAAGCTGTAGCAAAGCTCCGGCTGTCTCCTCAGGTCTCAGCAGCAGATGCAGCAGAAGCTGTGCGACTCGTTCATGTGGCCACCTTCCAGTCCCTTGTTGACCCCTTCTCAGGTCTGCTGCTGCTGCTGCTGCTGTTGCTGCTGCTGCTGCTGCTGCTGCTTTGGTGCTGCTGCTGCTTTGCTTCTGTTGCTGCTGGTGTTTTTGGTGCTGCTGCTGTTCGTGTTTGCTGTTGCTGCTGCGTCAGATCTTGTTGCTGCATCTGCTGCTGTTGTTGCTGCTTTTGGTGCTGGCGGTGCTGCGGCTGCGGTTATCTCGAAGTGTGCTGCTGCTGCTGCTTCTCGTTTCGGGTCCTTGGAGGGATTTTTGCTGCTGCAGCTGATGCTTTTATTGCTGCTGCTGCTGCTGCTGCTGCTGCAGGTCGTATTGACTTCGATCAGATTCATGTGGGCCAGAGTCGGCAGCAGCGGCTGCTGCAGCAGCGCTGCAGCGAGGCGCTGCAGCAAGTGCTGCTGGCAGCAGCAGCAAGCGGGTCGGGCTCCTTGACTAAAGAAGAACTCCACGCGAAGGTGCAAGAGCTGCTGAAGGTTCGTCTCCTGCTGCTGCTGCTGCTGTTTTTGCTGCTGCTTCTGCTGCTGCTGCTGCTGCAGCTGTTTGTTTCTGTATGTCTCTCTCTGCTTTTTTCTGTCTGTCTCTGCAGCTGGGTGGAGGCAGTCCCCATGTCGATATGAGTACACTCAATGCAGCGCTGCAGCAACTCGAAGAAGACCGTAAGCAGCCCCGCAGCAGCAACAGCAGCAGCAGCAACAGGCAGCAGCAGCCAGCAGCAACAGCAGCAGCAGCAGCAGCGTTGCATGCAGGGTGTTTCTGTGTGTTTTTTGTCTGCAGAAATCGTCGCTCGAAAGCCAGGGGGTCTCTTCCACGCTACCGTTGTTGCTGCCTGATCGCGCAGCAGCAGCAGCAGCAGCAACAGCAACAGCAGCAGCAGCAGCAACAGCTGCAGCAGCACTTTTGTACTGCAGGCATCGCCTGTTAGCAATAACTGCAACTATTGAGGTGTCTGTACACCCCATCTTAGCCCCTACAAACTTTTCTTGCCACATATCTATAGCCTGCAGCAGCAGCAGCGGTTGCTGCTGCTGCTGCAGCAGCAGCTGCTACAGCAGCTGCCGCAGCAATGAGGTGTCTGTAGGTATACATACACCCTGTGCTTACTACACTTCTACGTTTGCAGCAAAAACTTTAATTGTGTAAAGGCCTCAGATAAATTAAACAGCAAAGGGGGCAGCCACCGGTCCTAGAACAGTAAAAGCTGCAGCAGAAGCTGCTGCTGTTGCTGCTGCAGCTGCTGTTACTGCAGCTGCTGCAGCTGTTGCTGCTGCAGCTCCTGCTGCACCTGCTGCGAATACGCCAGCAGCTGCTGCTTCACCTGTTGTAGCAGCTGCAATACAAGCTGCTGCAGCTGCTGCTGCAGCAGCACTTCGATAAGACCCTATAACGACATATCAGTTAACAGCAATCTCCATGAGGTGGCTGTGCACGTACATCTGCATGCAGCAGCAGCAGCAGCAAGCCGCTGCTGCTGCTGCAGCATCAGCAGCAGCAGCACTTAGTTGTTGTTGGAGGAGTTGCGCCGAGTGAAGTCGGACATCTTTTTGTTTAAAGGAGTATGCTCGTGCTTCTCCGGCAGCTTCTCAGAAACGAGTGTCTCAGCCCTGCAGCAGCAGCAGCAGCAGCAACAGCAGCAGCAGCGTGTGCACAAGCAGCAGCACCAGCGTGTAAAGCAGCAGAAGCAAACGCCATACACCATCCTATCCCGACGACTCAGGTACACAGCAGCAGCTATAAGCAGCGTCAACAGCAACATCAGCTACAACAGCAACAGCAGCAGCAGCAACAGCAGCA